GAACCATGTAAACACTTGCAATTTCTGGTGAAAAATACTTACACAGTTTAACAAGAAACTAACGAACCATGTATACACTTGCAATTTCGGGTGTAAAATACTTACACTGTTTAACAAGAAACTCACGAACCATGTAAACACTTGCAATTTCTGGTGAAAAATACTTACACAGTTTAACAAGAAACTAACGAACCATGTAAGCACTTGCAATTTTGGATCTAAAATACTTACACTGTTTAACAAGAAACTCACGAACCATGTAAACACTTGCAATTTCTGGTGAAAAATACTTACACAGTTTAACAAGAAACTAACGAACCATGTAAGCACTTGCAATTTTGATCTAAAATAGTTACACTGTTTAGCAAGAAACTCACGAACCATGTAAACACTTGCAATTTTGGATCTAAAATACTTACACAGTTTAACAAGCAACTAACGAACCATGTAAACACTTGTAATTTTGGATCTAAAATACTTACACTGTTTAACAAGAAACTAACGATTATGAAAGTGGTGCTAGTAAACCTGTAAGGAGTAATTCAATGAATCACAATATTAACATCTTCTTTTTTACGTTTCTCCAACCACCATCCCCTACCAGCGTGCTTAATTTCTAAAACGTTGAGTGTATTTTTCTATTTTATATCCTCATACTGAGATAATACCACATGTGACAACATTTTTATTGTGATAAATTCCATTTTTTTAGAATTTTTGTAGTATAAATGTAAGAAAAAAGAACAACAAAGATTTTTGTGAAGGAAAATATACCATAAGAAACAACAACGAAACGTCAAGAAATTTGTTGATCTTGTAACATATGCTGAATGCCACCCTAAGAATGGACAATCGGTTTTTTTTATCGCTGTTTTAGTTTTACTGCAAAGAAAAGATAAGGGGTAACCATAGTGCTTTTGGTGAATGATAAGTTATGCAAAACAAAATCAATAATCTTAAGGTTCTCGGAAAGCCCTTAATTTCGAGTGAACGTACTCGTCATGAAATCATGGGTTTCTCGTATTTCTCTCTAAACCTCAAACGAAGCAAGTGATTGCGTTGCTAAAACTGTTCAAAGTGAATGGAACTGTGAAACCTTATTAGAAGTTATATATAGGAAATTAGAACAGAGACAGTACTTTGACAAATATATAGCAGATAAAGATAATATAGAATAAGTAGGACAGAAATGATGAGTTGGTAAATGAATAACAGATTAATTGTAGAGCACATCTACACAGTTTTAAATGATAAAGTAGCTACAACACCCAATAAGCAACTGTAAGTCTGTCTGTACATAAAACAACGTTTTCTGCCAGGGGTCCGATATGGCCAGGTGATTCGGGGGCTTGACTCGCAATCTGGGGGGTCGCGGGTTCGAATCCCCGTCCCACCAAACATGCTCGCCTTTTCAGCCGTGGGAGAGTTATAATGTGACGGTCAGTCCCACTATTCTTCGGTAAAAGAGTAGCCCAAGAGTTGGCGGTGGATGGTGATGACTAGCTGCCTTCCCTCTAGTCTTTCACGGTGAAATTAGTGACGGCTAGCACAGATACCCCTCATGTAGCTTTGAGTGAAATTCAAACTCAATCTGTTTGTCTGGTGTCACGAGTTTTCCACGGCTCAAATCAGAGAAAAAGGCGGCCCATGTCCCTTTTATAGCTTTAATGTTTAAGCCAGCATTGCTGGGTAGATTTACTACTTCTACAAAATAAAATTCGGTGTTTAAACCGTAACCAAGTTATCTATTTTCAGTAACTGTATTGATGTTTGCATTAATATGAGAATTTTATTGAGGTCTGCAAGCTTTTAAAATTTCTCTAGATATTAAATAAAAGTTTTGAGACGGCTTAACTGGGCAATGAAAAAAACGACGTTTCGACAAGATTTTGTCATCCTCTTGTCAACATAATAAAGTTTTTTTCATTACCCAGTCAAGCCGTCTCAAAAGCTTTTTTATTTTCTTAAAAAGCAAGTTCCTCGGTATCAACTTTTTTCTAGATATTGAAATTGTTGTCAACGGATTTGGCATCTTTTACAATTAGTCTGTCAGAGTAGAAATTGAATACAATAAGTAACAGGCTCTTATTTAATGTTAAAAGTAACATCTCAGTTCTAACACCGTTATTTCGTTCATTAATTGTATGTTTAATGTAGGATTTATGTGGCGAGCCCCGGAATTGTTGAGAAATCCTGACTCGCCACCTTGCGGCACGCAGAAAGGAGACGTGTATTCCTTTGCGATTATTCTTTATGAAGTCTTAGGACGGAATGGACCTTACGGCAGAATTGACATGACGCCGTCAGGTAAGTGACATTTTCGACTGTATAATTTGAAATTCTTCCAGCATAACCGGATTTTCTCGGTAAAATTGACGGAATATTCGAGAAAAGAGAATAACATTATTTGAAGTTTGAATTTTTTTTTGATAACAGTTGCGTAAGAACCTGACGTTATCTTCCAAAAATTCAAATGTTACCAGAATTACACACACATCTTCTCATAACATTATTGTATGCTATATATGATAAAAAGTATTATATTTTATGTTTTCATAATGTTCAAACCTCGATTGTTAAATTCCAGTTTTAGTACCCCCCAAAAAAAAACAACACTTTTCTAAAATGCTGCATTATAAAGAAAACACATTTATACTAGTTAGAATTCACATAGTTGAGAAATAGTTCTACCATAGGGACACAGACACGTGCATTTAGCTGGTTGTCTCCTACACGTGTATTTAATATATTTCGTTATATAACGTTAACGTTATAGTCTTTGACATTAAATAAGCGATTCGTATGAAACATTTCACTTAAAATACGCACAAGACATTATTAAGGTACTTACTCGCGTTTAATTTTTTTAAATTTCTGATTTATTGTATTTAATTAGTGATTTATCTTCGAGAGATCACGAAAGAAAAAACCAGAACGTTATTGCTTTTCAAGTTTTTCTTTAAATAAGTTTGTTGTTTACTATTTGATGTATTTCTATCTAAGCCAACCAGAGATTGTCAGAAACGCAATCGAAAATATATTATAATACAGCATTTAAACACTGGGAGTCGGTGAATTCGATATCAAATTATTATTTAAGGAATGTTTAAGCCAATCATGAGTTAGGACTCACCGTTTTACTGTAGCACCCTCTATTGGCGGTACAATGAACGATAACTGATGCTTGCGAATTTAAGGATAGTAACGCAGGCCTGCGATGGTTTAATTGTATTGAAATTTTTACATGTTCTATAGTAATTCCTGTATGCTGAATTCGAAAATGATATCCATTTTTCTCCATCACGTATAGATTTTTCACAAAACGTCATAACGATATACATAAAAGAAGGATCACAACACGTAGTTTTGAGACTAAAAGACGTAGATTTCACACACAAAAATCAGGATGAATGAGGACGCATATTCGTTTAACATCAATGTTCTTCCCTTTTCTTCAGTTTGTTTGCATTTTTGTTAACAAGCATAATAATAAAAAATGTTCATTGTGGTCAACAAATAATAATTTGATTTAAGTAAGAGTTTGTTTT